CGACCCCGCTGCCAGCCTGGACCCTGCACTGGCTCCAGGCTTGTCCATCAGGGCTGTGCCAGCACCTGCGGCCCCCCGCTTGCCGCACCAGGCAGTGTTTCCCACTGCCACCTCTGTGCAGCCCAGCGCGCGAGCTCTGGGCAGCCAGCAGCAGCAAACACTGCCCGGCACAGCAAACGGGGGGGCTGCAGCTGTTGCTGCCATGCACAGCCCCAACAGGCAAGCCCAGAGTCATGCGGGGCCAAGGCTGGCAGCGGGGGCGGGTTACAAGCTGGTGCTAAGCACGGGGATGGGGAGCAGCCCCTCGCCCGCCCCATGGCTGGCACCCCACGCTGCAGCCACTCGCAGCCTGTATGGGGCTGTCTATGCCTGCTCAGGACAGCTCCACACAGGCTGCAAGCAGCTGCAGCACAGAGCATCGGCTATGGGGGGGGCGAGGCACCAACCTTCCCCCACACCCAGCACCAGCTCCTTCCTTACCAGCGAGCAGGGGGTTGAGGCTGTGCACTGCCCCCTGCCTGTACCGTGGGGCTGTGGGGCACTAGGAGTGAGTGGGTGCATGGGGCCCACACCAGTGTCCTGGGGCCAGTTCCGGCGGGACCCAGAGCAGGGCAGCAGGAGTACAGGGTCCCGGCTAGCAGGGGCTCTATAGAGCCAGGCCAGCTCCCGCCTCCCCCTGCTGGTGTAGCCCAGCCTGGCTCCACAGACCCCTGCCAGCCTGCGCCCTGCTCTGGACCCCACCAGTGCTCACCTTGGGACACTGGTCCCAAGACATTGGGACGTTGGTCCCAAGGTGGTGACCGGGGGCAGGGCACCTGTCAAGGGGTGGGGCTACCCACGTGGCCCTCGACAGCTTGCCACAACTTGATAAGTGGCCCTCCGCCCGAAATAATTGCCCTCCCCTGGTGTAACATCTGAAAGACCCTTTTCCACTCTATCCACCCAGATACAACTCATCCAGGACCACGTCACTTTGCATCCGATTAACTGCAACATACTCTTCTAAAACAAAACATTGCTACAAAGGTAACTACTGCTTTAATTGCAATATTCTTTCCTCTGTCTTTATTCATCAGCTTCCTCTTCTCCAGCACAAACACACCTACTTGTCTTCATTGTCCAGTCCCTTCCCAGTCAAATGGAGAAACAGTAATGCTAATGTAAGAGATACAAAATTGAAGTACTATGGACACATTCTAAGAACAGGAAGAAAATGCCTACAAAAGAATATAACAGAAGGTTGTGTGCCAGGAAAGAGAAAGACGGATGGACTATGGAAGAGTTGGCAAGAAAACATGGAAGACTGCAAAATGGATTACATACAAATGCAGTGGCAAGACAGATAACAAACAGCCAAGTGGAAAGCATTTTTCCATTGTGGCACAACTGCTTGTGACAAAGATAGCATTTAATCCCACTCTGCCCATCATTTCTCACGTGCTATCTGGATGGTAATTCCTGACTCAACTCAACCAATGATGCCTGCTTTCGGTGCTCACTATCTCCCAGGATACCACTGAGACAATGGAGATGGTCAGTTAATGTCCGCATAGCCACCCTCTTTTGCCTCCGTATCTGCAAAAATGTGATTATGCTCAAGCATATGTCAGCATTCCCCTTTTTCTACCTTGTCTGGTCTATGATTCTCGTTTCGTATTCTGAACACCAGCTTTTTGGGACAGGGATATTTTTTTTACTATGCATTTGTACAGTGAGTTGGCACAAGAATGCCCTGACTGGAACACCTGGGGGTTACCACAGTACAATTACTAAATAGCTTTAATAATACTTAGCAAGTCCACAGGACCTTTCATCAGAGAATCTCAAGGCACTTGTCAAACTATAGTTAAGTAAGGTGCAACACACCCATGTGGATGAAGTCATTCCCGTTTCACAGATGGGGAAACAAAAGTGCAAAAAAACATTTTAAAAAATTGCTGAGGATCACATGTTATGTCAGTGGCCACATCATGAAAAGAAGCAGAAAACCCCTGCCAGTAGTCCAACCACTCAAATACCTGCCCAAGCACTACTTGAAAAAAAGACCTTGCAACTCAGTGCTGTCCTACACCAATTTTTATCCACCATGCACTATTGTTTTCACAAGCAGACTTTTTTCTTAAAGAACATCAGGGGTATAAGAAAAAATAAAGTGGCACATTTATAGTTTTAAGAACTCTGCAGAAGACAGGGAAAAATGATGCCTGAAATAGATTAAAAGTGAGCATCAGTAGGGGCCTGGCTGGCAGCTTGGACTTTTTCATGTACAAGGCAGTTTCATTGAGAAGAAATGTGCTCCGCTGCTCTGGAAAGATGCAGATCAGAGGATCTCCACCTTTTCAGATTCAAGGCACCCCTCAATTGGCTCAGGACACCCCTTGCAAACTGCCAGCTCTGAATTTTTTTCACTCTTTTTTTTTTTTTTTTTTTTTGACTTCAGAAAAAAAAAACAGAGCAATTCTTCTACAGCAACAAAGCTCAAGTAACACAACAGCTCAGAACACCTCCAGGACCATGAATTCCTATGGAAAATCCCTGGATTCACCCTACAAAGCAGGGTGCTCACAACACTACCACCAGTGGGTACCCCACAGCACCCTCAAAAGGCTCTCGAGTCAGTCCCTGCTTGAGCACCATTGATACAAACAGACAGAAGAGCCAAAAAGAGCACACCCACCTCCCCAGGCCCACTGGTGACAAATGAAAGCATCCATGCCTCCTCCTCCTCCAGGCTAAACAAGCCCAGGTCCCTCAGCCTCTCCTCATAAGACATATTCTCCAACTCTCTAACCATCGTCACTGCCTGCTACTGGAGTATCTCCAGTTTGTCTCTCTCTCTCTCTCTATATATATATAAGTGTACATCCATCCATATCTATGCCTAATATTAAACACACACACACACACGCACATAAAGATGTACATATAAACATATATCTATGTAAACACACACACTGTGTACATAGACAGACAGATGTACATCTAGTTAAATACACAGATATATGTTTATCTGTATGCATATCCATCAACAATACAGCTATATTAGATCTACTGATCTATCTATACACACACAGTGTATATATCTAATCTTGATCGATCCATCTACAGACACACGATATACACTTGTATGCATAGCTCAATTGCGATCAGTAGATATATACACACGTGTGTGTATACTTCTCAATCGCAACTGATCTATGTATACACACAATCGCAACTGATATATTTTGTCTATACACACGTGTATCTCTGTTGATCTCAACTGATCTGTCTGTACACACACTCGTGTGTATATAGACAAATCAGTCGCAACTGATAAACATACGCACACACTTGTGTGTACAAACTGAAGGATAGATCAAATATAGCTATATTAGATACAGACAGCTGTACATATAGATAGATACGTGTATATGTGACATATGTATCTAGATCTACTCATATCAATAGATGTATTTCTCTGCAGGTGTGCACACACTTGTGGCCCTGGCTGAGGCACCCAGACATGTTTTCCCTCCCTCCCTCTGTCCTGCTCCTGGCCCTGCCCGGGCACCCACCATGCCCAGGTCCAGCAGTCAGTGCTGGGGTGAGAGGGCTTCAAAGCGGACGCCACCCCCTCCTCCCTCTTTGGTTGCGCCCACCCCAAACTTTCACAACTGCGGTCGGAAGGTTCCAACACGAGGCAGAGGGTCCCCTCCCTTGGAAGGTTCCAACGCGAGGCGGGGGGGCGGGGGTCCCCTGCCCTGGGAGGTTCCATGTGACGCATATCGGGGGGTGACACGTACACACTCACCTGCGGTTCATGGGCCGGAGCCGCACGGCCACCTTTACCGAGGCCATGGCGCGTCCGCCGCCGCCACCTCCTCGCGGCGCGGGGCAGCTCACCCCGCCGGCCTCCACCCCCCACCCCCCCCCCTTCAGCCCCACCCTT